GCTGTGGTCATGGGTGTGGTGACAAGAATCTTCAAAAGAGTGACAGTCTCTGTGAACGTGCTTTGAAGATTGTTCTCCATGAAAAACTGGAAGAGAGTCAGTGCACCAGTGCAAGTCCTGAACTCATGATTCTCATAGATGAGGGATAGCTCTGTTCTGAGCTTAGCTTTGTTCAGCATGGGGTAGGCCTCTACAGCGGTCGCCAGTGCTGCATCTGGGAACTGTGCTGTGTGTTGCACAAACAAGTCACTTTGTAGCAGAGTGGCAGCAACGAGGTGCTTGGTAAAAGAGAATCGCTCTTTTGCATGGCTCAGGATGGTGTCACAAACCTGTCATATGATAAATAAAAAACAACAGATAAGTACATAGGAAACACTTTCATAACGTCATCAGTGTCCTCTTACAAATGTCATATTTCCCAGTTTTTGGGACAATAAAACCTTTCTGATTCTCAATGAGATGTTTTTACTTCAATTGTAAAAACATCTCATTGAGAATCAGAAATGTTTTATTGTCCCAAAAGCTGGGGAATTTGTTTGCTGCAGCAGAAGTGTAACAAGTAAAATGGAATCAGATTGATGTATGTACAAATTTACATGAAATACACATTTACATGATTAAATATGTATAATAAGTATGTGTGTTGAAATTAGTTTTTACAGTTATTGCACATTAAACATGTTATTAAACAAATGTCCCGGTTTGTGGGACAACCAAGGATTTCTGATTCTGATTGTCTTGTTCACAGAAATGTAATGTACAGCTTACCTCTGCACCCAGCTGCTGTTGTTCTCCCTGTCCAAACGTCCTCCGTTTCTTTGTTGGCTGCTGCACTGATGCGCTGCATTCCTCAGTCAGAGAATGAATGGAGTCCCCAATGAGACACAAGTTCCACATCCACATTACTGTTTGTGAAACTAACATACTGGAGAATTTCATCACAATAATATTAAATAAACAAGTATGTACCTGATCTTTTGGTGACGCTCTGGATGACCCCTGTGATGTAGACCGAGTCAATGTTCCTCTTCTGCAGCTGGTTGAACAGCATGTCTACATGTGGCATGATCTTGTGAAACAATGCCAGCAGAAAGCAGAAAGCTTCTTCCTCCAGCATTCTCACAAAGCCTCCTGCCTCTCTCTCAGTGATTAGATCAAATGTCTGTAGTCTCATCTGCCTGAATAGCAAGATAATCTGCATTGTTCACCTCTCCAAGAATGTGGATTTTAATAACTGACAACATACAGTCCAAGAACTCGTTCTGCACGGTCTTTGAGGTGCCTGTAGCCGTCTTCAGATGATCCTCCAACACATCATCAAGTGAAGCAACCAGATCCACTAGGCCCCTGAATACGCCCGGGAGGATTCAGTCTCATCAAGGCCACACAAAGCCAGCTCAAATGCTCCACAAAATTTAACACAGTCAATTATCTTGGACAAAATGTGCCGGTTCCAATCCACTTGTTCATTGTGTTTCTTCACTGCAAGCCTGTGCCCCTCGTCGAGCTGCATGGCAATGTTAGCTCTGCCTAGCATGGCTAGCTTCACCGTGTTGTCCATGTGTGCCCGGGATGACTCCTGTTTCTTCACCTTCTCAGAAAAATGTTTCATGTCCGTAACTCCTGACAAAATCCATGCCTTATCTGTCCCAGCCGTTTTGAATAACAAACACGGAAAGCAAAATAATGCATTAGCGCGATTGCATCCAGCTAGCCAAGCCTTCCTGGTGTACCAATTTCAGGAGAAGCCTCGTGTGTACAGTTTACCCTTCTCCTTGTCCTGCTGGCTTATCTTTACTTCGGGCTGATCTGGTCCAAGCTCTTTGACATTAAGTTTTTCAACCATTGTTCTCCTCTCGAACGGATACTGAAGAGACCGAACTGAGTTCAGTGGCTGCTGAGATCCGGTATCCATGCTCGTTGTAGGCCCACTCATGTCCATCACTGCATCTGCGTCACCACCAAATACTGTGCTCGAGTCGAGCTCAACCCGAACACCAACGAACAGCCTAGGCGGTAGCTCTATCGCCCTTCGGGCTTCCGAATCGAAGACGCTGATTGGATGCATTCCCATTCCTATGCGTTTGATTTTCTTGTCAGCAATTGGCTGGCTGCTTCACTGCTGTTTGGGCGATCTTTCTGTCGCCTCCACCGCTCGGCAGGGAGTTTCTCACCAGTGATATAGATATATATATATGATTTGTTTTTGTTACAAAACACACAATTAACTTAGAATATGTGCTTATTGTTATATATTTTTTATTTTTTCTTAAATAAAAATTAAAAACACTGGGGAAAACGGGGGGGGGGGGGGGGGGGGGGCTATCGCCCTCTAGTGGCCAGCCGCCACTGTCCCTGGGACTGTGAGATCAGGTTCGATTCTCGGCCGGGTCATACCAAAGACTTTAAAAATGGGTCCCAATGCCTCCCTGCTTGACATTCAGCTTTAAGGGGTTGGATTGGGGGTAATACCATCAAATAGTTCCCGAGCGCAGCCATTGCTGCATCTCACCACTCCCCTCCAATGAGATGACCAGTATGTGATGATGACTATGGGACTTTCTCCATTTTGTCTTCTTTGTTAATGCATTGCATCACCACCTGGTATCAAAACAGGAGTCTGTATTGGAAGATAATCAAAAATCAAACAACTTGGATTCAGATCAGGGGCAAAAATATGGTTGTAACATAAGTCAGATTTAAAAACTAAAACTTTTGTTTATGAAATAATGTTACCTTAATTAATGACATATTTTTCCTAGTTTACATTATGTTGTTTGAAACCAAGAGTCTCCTTATCTGAATTTTTTAAACTTGTTGGATCGTGAATCTGTTTAAAAACTTTGCTCTATATGTGCCCCTTTTTCAGAGGTGGAAAGTAACGAATTACATTTACTCACGTTACTGTAATTGAGTAGCTTTTTTGTATATTTATACTTTTTAAGTCGTTTTTAAAAGCTGTACTTTTACTTTTACTTGAGTACGTTTTTTAAAAGAATTGTAATTCGCTACATTTTAAATGATATCCGTTACTGAGTAAAAATAAATTGGCTTAATAACTTAAAAATATTACGTGTAGCAGCGTCGGAACGGAAATAGACACCTGCATGAGCGCCGCGTCTAAACCGTGGGGGTGTACACTTTTGCTCAAAGACATCAGATCAGTCTATCAACTCGCTGTTTACCTCCTCCCTCTCCTGTGGGTTGGAACTCGCAACTTCGTGCACCGGTGTGACGTCGTCAGAATTCTGCTCGGTTCGGTAGCCGGACTCGGTTCCGTGTTTGAATTGCGTTTTCCTACCGCTCCGCACGGAAGCAGCAACATAACGTTTAGCGCTCATAACAAGCGGATTATCAGCGCTTTGCTCATAAAACAGAAGACCTGCAGGCCTCTGTGAGTTAAAACATCCTGATACTGTTCAGGTGTAAACATTGTGCTCCATCCCTGTGTTTGAACTCAGAAGATGCCACAGATATGTGATGATTTAGCATGTTTCTTTATTTTACTCCAGAATAAGAGATTAAATTATTACTAAAGCAGTTCAATGTAGTTCAATTAGTCATTCACATGATTCTAACATGCTGCAGTGTGTGCATGTGTGCGTGCGTGCGTGTGTGTGTGACACATATAGAACTGCATGAGAAAGTGTGGTTTCATCAAATCCATGCATCTTATATCTTGGCTGAAGTAATGGCTCAGGAAAATAACTTCTATTTCATAAATAATGACGTCTTAATAGAGTCTACGATAATGTTTTATCTTATCTTTGGTCTGGGAGGTGTAACATATCATGATACAAGCCTTTTAAAACATGTTAAAGTGTTACAAGACGAGATAAATGCATGAATTTACAGTTCATGTTTGGACACCAACCTTCACAGTTTGGAGGCTCACGCTGGAGGAGACACCATTAGTTCTAGTAACACCTGGAAGGATTCCAGTTGGATGATTGGAGGATTATTTAGGAGGATTGGAAAGAAACAAACTGGTTTCAGTGGTGAAGGGTTAAATGAGTAAGTGAACCCACTACCAAGGATGAACTCTGCTAACTTTAAAAATCAGCTGCTCTAAATAAGCATGAAGGTCAGAGAGGAGCTCTAGGATGGACATGGATAAAGGAACTGTAATGTAGAGGTAAAGCAGGGCAGGGCCAACATTAGCAGCTGTCATACGGTCCATCTGAAATGTTTGACTTCCATTTAGCTTGTTATGTGACAGGTTAGAGCACAGTCTCATGTTAGAGTTTTGTCATGAGAACATTGAGATATCTCATACTGCTAGCATCTAAAAAATTATTTTTTCTCAAAATAAAGAATAATTTTAATCACAATTGAAACTTACCATCCTAGAAAAACCTCTCCAATCAATGTGCACGTCATGTTCTCACTGATTGGATAGAAATCCCTCCTTCAAGCTGTGTGTGTTTGAGTGTGTGTGTGTGCGCGCACATACGAGTGAATTGTGAACGGGCATTGTGATTTAGCACTACTTAGATGTAGCCATCCTTACGCTGACAAAAATATAACTAAGTAACTTTTACTTTGAGTATTTTGTTTACAATACTTTTTACTTTTACTTGAGTAAAAAATTAGGCAAGTACTTTTACTTGTAATTGAGTAAAAAAATAATCAAAGTATTGGTACTCGTACTTAAGTAGGAAATTTTAGTATTCTTTCCACCTCTGCCCTTTTTTTACTTTGAGCTCCCACCCCTTCAAAGGTCTCTGCACGGCCCTGGACTCACTTATTCCTATTCTTCTGGCCTGATTAATAATGAGACATCATGTTTTTTCGAGGAAGGTCTGACCTGATTCTTGGACCACGGTCGGCCACAGGGTTGGGATTTCAGTAACAGGATGTAAAAAACAGAAAGACGAGCTCTGGTTGTTTTCCGTGGCTGTTTTGTCTGAGCCGTGTCGCTGGAGGCAGCGCGAGCGGTTGGCACACACAAACCCCCTCAGCAGGACCCCCACTGAATGTGAGCCTGGGAGGGAGAGAGAGGGAAAAGGGGGAGAGCTGCGTGAGTTCATGTGAAGACATGAAGCGATGCTGATCCAATAGCACTTAGAGACCGAGCGCTGCTGCAGCTGACAGGAGCTGTGCTCCGAGGGTCCGGGCTCGCTCCAGGAGGACTCAGCTGGAGCTTAGCCCAGCTGAGACTGAGGCGGATCTACATCAGCAGGCCCTCTGCGCCTCCTCCTCTCTGGAAGAGGAAGAGAAACCGCCTCTCCACCTCAGTCCTTGCTGCGAACTTCTGACCCCCCTCCCATTGTGTCCACACTGGGATGCGGACCCAGCATGTCTCAGAGGGGGGCGTGCCGGGGCCTGGGGAACGCTCCGGGTTGTCACCGGGGTCTGGGTCCGACGGAGGGAGCCCGGTGGGCAGACAGGGGGGCCCATTGGGGTACGGAATCAGTGCGGGTGGATGCACGGGTGGAAGTGGAGGGGGAGGTAGTCTAGGAGGAACTCTGAATAGGATCCTGTCCCGCTACTGGAGCCTGGAAAGTCTGCACTCCACCACAGGTAAGGGTTCTGGTAGTTTGGTCCTGAGGGATGGTTTCTAAACCCCATCAGACCAGGAGGTTTCATCTGGGCTGTGTTCAGGATTCAGCTGGACTGGCTAGAAAACTACAGAACCTGTTAGTGTCTGGACTCATAGGAACCTGTCACCAGAGCCGCATTACACACTTTCATTATGGAAGTTTTTGTATTTTATTAGATTATTTTCAAAAAGGAATTGAAGGTCAGTGTCCAGAAGCAAAAGGTCATCAGATGGTGACCTGATCATTGGACGCATTTGTTTTATCTGTTTTGCCCACAGAGACTAAATTTACTCTCAGATGTGTGTGTGCGTGTGTGTGTGTGTGTGTGTGTGTGTGTTTGTTCCTAATCAGTTCTTGTTCCTTTGTTTAATCTGTCAATATTTTAATTTTTTTGAGAAGCCTTCCACGTTCCAGTGCTAGGGTGCCCGCCCTCCATCCCTCCATTCCCTTATCCCAGTATCCCTCCATCCTTCCTGATTCATAGCTCTCTACTTCCTGTTGTGGTCATGTGACCAGAACATTCAGAATCAACAGCTATCAGCTGATCAGAGTGAAACCAGGAAACTGATGCCCTCTGGTTCGCTCTGTTTCAGCTCTGTCACTGTGCGAGCGTGTGTGTGTGTGTGTGTGTGTGTGTGTGTGTGTGTGTGTGTGTGTGTGCATCAGTCTTCTGTGCTCTATTTGTTACCTGACTGTAGTCAGGTCCATGTGGATGATGTTTTCTGATGGACTGTGTGGCACTGAAAATATAATTTTATTACAATTCCCAGAAAATATTTACTTTTAGATTAAAATGTTCTATTTTACAATCGAATTAACTATGTAAGCAGCTTTTCTGTGTAAACAGCAGCATAGACAACAGAACCTTTACTTTTAAAGCTATTATAGCGAATCTACAGTACGAGCTAGGTTTTGAACGCAAACACAGTCACAGAACTCACCCATCCCCTCGGGTATCTTCACTGGTTCCGCATCCACAGAAACCGGAAACCCACATTTCCAGAGGAAACGAGAGAGGGCTAAACACTAGTCACTGTTTTCTAGGTCCAAACAAGTTTGGCAAGTGCTGCGGTTTGGCGAGACCGACAAACAGATGTCAGTTGGAAAAATAGAATCATGACCTTGTTCGCTTTTAGAACTGTGAACTTATCTACACACACACACACACACACACACACACACACACACACGCACACACACACACACACGCACACACACACACACACACACACACACACACACACACACACACACACACACACACACACACACACACACACACACATACACATATATACACATGTATATAGTAGGGCCGGGACTTTAGCGCGTTAATTATGATTAATTAAATAGAAAAAAATGACGCATTAAAAAATTAACGCATTTAATCACAGCTTGCATTTCGAGAAAGGCGGAACCTTTGTTATTGCACGATTTCCTCGTAGACCGAATATCACTGACGCACACAAGAATGCACAGTGCTAATGGCTACTAAAACGGAATAAAAACAGAAAGAAGTTGCCTTGCTTGGACTGATGCAGGATTTAGGGAACCCGTCCGCCTCTTTTCTTAACTTGGAAAAAAAAACTTCCAGACAACAACAGAGTCCGTGTCTCAGACATTTTTCAGAGATCGTCTCTGATGCGGCTGCCCAGTGGCACCGGAAACTTTACAGACGTTGCGGTAAGCTATATTTTTAACATTTAGGTAACATCTGTGCAGCGCTGGAAGCTCCAGACAGAATAAATCTTTACCCTAACAGTAGTTTATGAAAGTAGTCAGACAAACGAGAGGCACCTGGCTGTCACTGGGAGAACGCTCCGTGTTCTCACTACTCTGTAAACAATCACAAACAACGTGTCTTAAAGTTGAAAACAGAAGTTTAAGTTAAAACAGAAACACTCTAAAAATGCGATTAATTAATTGCAAAGCCTCTTATTAATTAGATTAAAATCTTTATCTATCTATCTATCTATCTATCTATCTATCTATCTATCTATCTATCTATCTATCTATCTATCTATCTATCTATCTATCTCTCTCTCTCTCTCTCTCTCTCTCTCTATCTATCTATCTATCTATCTATCTATCTATCTATCTATCTATCTATCTATCTATCTATCTATCTATCTATCTATCTATCTATCTATCTATCTATCTATCTATCTATCTATCTATCTATCTATCTATCTATCTATCTCTCTCTCTCTCTCTCTCTCTCTATCTATCTATCTATCTATCTATCTATCTATCTATCTATCTATCTATCTATCTATCTATCTATCTATCTATCTATCTATCATCTATCTATCTATCTATCTATCTATCTATCTATCTATCTATCTATCTATCTATCTATCTATCTATCTATCTATCTATATATATATATATATATATATATATATATATATATGGCCTTGTCACTGATATGCTTTTTTTGGGACCAATACCGATATAAAACTTTTAACAAAGACGATAGCCGATATAATGGCTGATAAATCTCCCTCACACACAAAAAAAAAGAAATACTAATTTTCTTAAGCTTAAACCCTTCATTCTCTGCCTTTTTGATGCAAACTTATTTCTCTATTACACACCAAAGAACTGTCTCAATAACTCACTAGGGTTTCCAAGTAATTTAAATAAGATTTATTTAGCAGATCTCAAAAACAACAGAGCACACAAACTCAGTCACAGCATAAATCTAACATTCAAGTTTTTTCTTGTATACTGTGGTTTCCACAAAAACATTTTAACTTAAAGGAATATTCCACCACTCAGTAAAACTGTGTCTTGTTAAGATTCCCCAGAGTTAGACAAGTCAGAAAAAGCATTTTATAACCAGCCCAATATGATCTGGCAGCAGTTGGTTTTCTTAGTTTAGCATAAAACGATGTAAGTGAATTCACATACATTGTTTTTTATGTAGGTGAATGCAAGCCTTCCCTTCCATTGCTTTATGCAAAAACAACTGGTTACAAAATGTTTTTTCTGACTAAGCTAACTCTGGGGAATATAACAACACACACGTTTAGGGACAGAAGATCCCTATAAGAATATTGAAATAATAAAAATGCAGCAATAAATAAAACGTAATACTTGTGCTTTGTAACAAAGTAACACTCTGTGGAAGTAAACTTGGTGAACTTATAAAATATAAGGCTGAAAAAATACAATAGATTTATTCTATTGTTTCATTCATTTCATTTATTTATAAAGCCCCTTCTGCGACCAGTGCAGACGCCCAAGGTGCTATTGTAGAGAGGAATGTTTATTTTCTCGTTGTATTACCGCCCCTCCTCCCTGGACTGGGACTCCCTGCCATCACAGCGCTTCATGGCCTTGTTGCCAATCCCCCCTCCCCCATCCTCAGCAGCGACAGCGGTCGTGAGTTTGAAAAGACTACTGAAGAAGAGCAGATGAAATTGTCTGAGGATATTCCAGAATGTCTACCAGAAAAAGGCCAATGTTACTTACTTACTGCCCTGCATGCATGGGCGTCGCACCCGTGGGGATGTGGGGGATTCAACACCCACACTTTTCTTATTGAGATCGTTCAACTGACACCCACACTTTCCAGCTGTTTTGCTCACCTCCACACCAGTCTGGTTTCTTTACGTCGCACTCACTCTGTTTGCCTCATCTCCTTCTTCACCTCCACTTCTGACAGCCGATGTCGGGTTTCCAGGAGAGCAGGAGAGGGAGGGACGGAAGAGCTCGACTGAATTCATAATTTTACATCTTGACATTAGCTGTACAAAGTCTGAGTTTGATAAAGTGAAGAACAACAATTTGCAGAGGTTTATAACAGGCGCGGCGCCAGGTTTTCATTTTTGGGTGGGCCACGGTAATTCTGGACGGACCTTAATAAGCAGTGACTTAGTGAAGCAGGCAGGTCGCTCTAGAAAATTTAGTTTAAAAAGACGTCAAAAATGTGTTCCCCCGTCATTTTAATTTCTAAAATATGAAGTAAAAACTTACAATTTCATTTTCATTCATTTGTCATTAATTTGTAGTCTACACCCGTGCGTTAAGTGGACCATCTTCCAGTAAAAGCAAAGCTTCCAGCCCACCTCTCCAAATGCGTAAAATGTGCATCAGCCGCTAGTTAGGCGCGCCGTGCGTACCGTCAGCTACGTCAGCCCAGACAAGAGCAGAGCAACTAGAGAAAGAATAGAGGATAATTGTGTCTGGATGTGGATGGAGATTACATTTTACAGCAGCCTGATCATCATTTAAATACGTAAACCATCACCTGGCTTCTAGTCCACGCTATCAGCATTATTTTAATTTGTGTGTGTGTGTGTGTTTTCCACTTCACACACTGGTCTAACCAACCAGACCAGCGTGTCCAGTAACATATTAATGTTACAATTAAACAGTTTCACTTCATGTAGGCTAGGAACATTTCACCTGCCGTGGCCCGACCGCTTCTGCTCCACATAAACTTTGTGAGTAATCAAATGTCTCTACAGGTGCTTTCTGAGCTGAAGAGGCTATTCTGCCTCAGACTGGATGCGTCAGTGGAAGCAGCGCGAGCTCTGCATAGAGCGTAATGCTGCAGCAGTTTTATTTATTTATTTATTTATTTATTTTCAGGGTAACTTTTCAATACGAGGCCACGAGGCACACAATAAACTTAGGAAGCATGTTGTGGGGAAACATACTTTTGTCATTGCTTATTTTACCATTCGACTTACCACTGACACAACAAATATGCTTAAAACTGAAGACTTACCTCCTACAAATTGCTCCTGCTGCTCCGCAGCATGTGTGCTGTGACATGAGTTCATAAAGCTGGCGCCATCTGCTGGATAGGTAGCGCAATATTGGCCATATCGGCTGTCTTTTTGGCCGATAGCCGATAGTGTTAATGACCCTAATATCGGCCGGCCGATATATTGGTCGGGCCCTAATATATGTGTGTGTGTATATATATATATATATATATATATATATATATATATATATATATATATA